GTGAGCTCCCGTTGCTCAGTCCCTGCTCCTGCCAACCTAGCAGTTCGAAAGCACGTCAAAGTGCAAGTAGATAAATAGGTACCGCTCCGGTGGGAAGGTAAATGGAATTTCCGTGCGCTGCTCTGGTTTCGCCAGAAGCGGCTTAGTCATGCTGGCCACATGACCTGGAAGCTGTACGCCGGCTCCCTCAGCCAATAAAGCAAGATGAGCGCCGCAACCCCAGAGTCGTCCGCGACTGGATCTAACGGTCAGGGGTCCCTTTACCTTTCCCTAATTCAGTTTTACCAGCAAACCAGAGGTTAAACTAACCCCTTTCCATCCCTGGGAGGAGCACAGGGAACATTCACACTACACACAGCAGCTGACACACTGCAGCTGACACACTAACGTGTCACAACACACAGTTTGGGAAATTCTGGGTCAGAGTGTCAGACTAGGATGTAGGAGACCAGTCACTGCCTCTCAGTTTAATCTACTTCACAGCATTGTTGTTGTTTGGAGTAAACGAGGAAGGAGAGAATCTTTTAAGTCACCTTCAGCAACTTGGAGAAAAAAAGTGGGATAAAAATTCAATAAATAATAATCCCCACGATGACCACCACTACCACCACCACCACCACGACAACAACAACAACAACAACAATCTTGTAGCACTAATTTGAAACTACCATGGTACAAAGGACCTTGGCCCAGTCACTGTCTTTCAGCCTAACCTACCCCACAGGGTTCTTGTGAGGGTAGTATAGAGAAATGGAGAACTCTGTGTGCCATCTGCAGCTCCTTGTAGGAAAAATATGAGATAAAAATGTAAGAAAAATGAATAAAATAAAGCATACACAGCAACAATTCAAATCTCACCTAAGAAAAAATATCTGGTGTTGGTGTCTCCACTAAATGAGGCTTTGGGTGCATTTTCACAAACAGCAGTGACAGAACCAATGCTGACTGATCGATTTGTACATTTACATCCTATTTTTTTTAAAGCGAGTCCCCATAAACCAGCTTACAATAACTTTATGAATACAGATATAATTCAAAACAAAACAAAATCATCAAGCAATAATTTCAGAAAAGCAATCTAACCATAATTACAAAAAAACCCGCAATCCACCACCCAAACTAAAGCAGTGGTTAGAAAGTAAAACCCAATGCAGCCTTTTTATTAATAATAATATTAAAAAAAACAAAAACAAATTAAACTAAAAGGCTCAGTAATGTAAAATGGTTTTTTAAAAAAACCCTCAGCATAGCACTTTAATTAAAAGCAGATTGGAATGAAAATGTTGTTGAAGCCCAGCTAAAAAATACAATCAATTGCAGTGGGAGGGCAGCAGGGAAGCTCATGTTTATCCCCTGGGAAGGAGTTCCAAAGATTTGAAGCTACACTCAGGAGGACCTGTGATGCTGCCCCCCAATGTTTCGGCTTTCAAACGCCGACAACCTGGAAGTGAATGCTTCCGTTTTTGAACACGCCTCAGAAGTTGAACGGCTTCCGAAGTGTGTTTCTCCATTTTTTCAATGGATTTTGCCAACTGGCAACTGCACCTTGGTTGTCGAATGTTTCAGAAATATAACAGTCTTCCGGAATGGATTACGTTTAACAACCAAGGTTCCACTGTAAATCTAAACAGGAGGCCTCCAGGAAGGCTTCCTGCCTGCTAAGCATGTGATTTGTCCCTGAGCTGTGGATCTTTCAAAAACATCTGACTATAGCCCATGGGACCTGCCCTGATATTACTCATCTTCCCACATTGGTTGTAAGCAAGGTCTGAAAATGCACCAGCCTCCCGATTCTGCAAGGCTGTTCCCATAATTGGCCAGCCCTGCTCCCCACCCCTCCCCACCAAATACTGGGAGAATTTCACCACCCTAAGAGTGTCCAGCCAAATGAACACACACAACTGTGCCAACTGTGAACAGGGTAGAAATATATGTGTGGAACTGTTGTTGCTGTTGTTAATGTACCTTCCTATATAACATCTCAAAGCCCTTTTGCAATAAAATAAAAACATTTACCCAACCATTGCTTACAGAAAAGCAACTTAAGGCCATTACATATATATCTAAAAGTCCCACTACGTATACAAAACGAATTTCAAATCCTATGAGATTACAGAAAGGGATAAAAATTCTCCTCTCATAGGAAGCTCTTCAGTAAGCACTGAAAAGTTAACAGGAGACCATGCTTGTTTGATATGTAATGGAAGATTGCTCCAGAAGGTAGGTGCCTGCATGCCTAAGGAGCACTGTAAGGAACAGACCTCCTGCTGACCTCAGTAAGCTGACCTCACCTACCATTATATTAACTCTGTATGGCATGGAAGCATGAAAGCATGAAAGCATATTTTAGGCATCCTGGCCTCAAGCGTTATAGGAGGTCTGTGTATATCAAACCCAGTTCCTTGAGCTTAGACCAATAGCTGATTTTAAGATTGTTTAGGAAGCAATGGGATTGTGCCCTGTTGCTGCTTGTAGTCCCCAGCCCCTCACCCCACTGCTTCCTTAATCCAATACAGTTTCAGTATTACCGTATTTATTCGTGAGATGCTCCTCCTGGCCCTTGCTATGTTAGAGCCTTTGGGGAAGCAGGATGGAGCAGACCTCCCGCCCGTCCTCTGCAGGCTTTCTCTACCACAGGGGTAGGCAACCTAAGGCCTGGGGGCCGGATGCGGCCCAATTGCCTTCTCAATCCGGCCTGTGGACGGTCTGGTAATCAGCGTGTTTTACATGAGTGGAATGTGTCCTTTTATTTAAGATGCATCTCTGGGTTATCTGTGGGGCCTGCCTGGTGTTTTTACGTGAGTAGAATGTGTCCTTTTATTTAAAATGCATCTCTGGGTTATTTGTGGGGCATAGGAATTCGTTCATTTCCCCCCAAAAAATATAGTCCGGCCCACCACATGGTCTGAGGGACAGTGGACTGGTCCACGGCTGAAAAAGGTTGCTGACCCCTGCTCTACCCATGCCTCCTTGCCTCCTCTAAATCCTATTGATTTCCATCTGCTTGTAAGTTTTAATGTCATGCGTAGTTTGGGCAACCCTGGATTAAAATATTGACTTCTTATTTTGGGGTTTTAAAAAAAGGGGCCGTTTTATACTTGGGGGCGTCTTTTACATGGAAAAATATGGTAACAGTCAAACTTTTCAGAAAAAGAATTTGAGAATTTTTTATTTTCTGCTCTCCCCACTGTTGCAAGAATTCGGCCCCTCTTCTGAGAAAATATTCAGTGAAATCCCCTATCCCATACTCTGCCTGCAAACCATGAGAATATCAAGAGCCTGCTGTTGCTCACCTAGTCTAATGATCTAATTATTTTTTAAATTAACTACTTTTCCAATCATTCTTGCTAATTTTTTAAACAGGATACAAAGATAAAATCGACAAGCTATTTTCCAGCTGGTTGCAATAATCCCTGCCTTGCGTGTTTATTCTGTATTGTCTTCAAACCTACCTTCAGTTGTTGTATTTTGCACTGTTTTTAAAACTGTGGTTTTTGTTTTTTGTTTTTGCAGTTTTATGGTATGCTTGTAAATCACCTTGAGGCACGTGGAAAAGGCAATTTGTAAATTAATAAATAATAATGAAATGAATTCAGAAGAAAACAACACTGGCTTAAGATAGGCTATCAAAGAGAACACGTCCAGCTTTGAGACAAAAATTATATACTACTGGGGGGGGGGGATTCATTAAAAAAAGAAAAAAGAAAAAAAGGTCAGCTTAGGTGTCAGCACAGAGGACGGGAGAAAAAAATGTCATCCTCTTAATTGTTCCCAAGTAGGGCCCAAAGGAAAGTTACTCCATCCAGATTTCTCAAGACCATGAAGTCAAAGGTTGCCATTTTACAAGTGTAGGATTTGGTCCAAACCTTTAAAAAAGATTGATATAGCCTTATTTGTTTAATGGAAAGCTGGAAGGAGCCCCCGGCTACATCTCTGTGGCCAGCTTGGTATTTTTATCTTTATGTGTGGGGACGTTCCACTTCATCTTGGAACAGCGGCCACCACTTTTAGCGAAATTGAATGCCCTTTTGGCAACGTCAGGTTTTTAAAGCTGTGTGTGCCACAGGCATTCTTTCTCTCCTCCACCCCCCTGCCCCCTCCCATGAGCCAACAAGCTACTCAGGAGGAGGAGGAGCTTGCATTAGACAGCAGCACTAGAGAATCTGGGCAAGGTCGAAGCACTCCCTGCCTGCCAAGACTGAGAGCAAGAATGTCACTGTTAAAAGCAAGGGTGCCAGTTCTGCCACAGCTCAGTCTCAGGTTCAATCCACGGCATCTCTCCCTACTACAGGGGTGGGGAACTTCAGGCCAGAGGCCAAATTCAGCCCACCAGACCTCCCTATTCATAGCAAGTCTCAGGCCCGTACCAACTCTCCCTTGGCTGCCCCCTTCACTGGCCCTGCTTTGCACCCCAAGCTTTTTCTGGCTGGCTGAAATGTGGCCTTGAAGTATGGGTCTCAACCCTCTTGCCCACTCACACCACACCCTCTCACAGGCCATGGCTCTCGCCAGCTCTGCTTCAAACCATCGAGTGGCTTTTTGCCCAGTTGGAATGTGTTCTTCAGCTCAGATTAATGCCTCTTGCTAGCTTGGATGGGGAATAGAGAGTGAGTAATAAAACTAGCATAGAGTACAAAAGGTAGACATTTACCCTCATTGCTGGGCCCCTTTCCCCCTTTGCCCCATCTACCACTGGCATGTGGGCTATGTATGGGGGGGGGAGCAAGTAGCTCAGTATTGCTCCACCAGAGCTTTCCAAACTTTTCAAGTTGGTGACACACTTTCTGGACATGCATCATTTTGAGTCACAGTAATTGAGATTTCCTAGCAAACCAGAAGTTAAACTAACCCCTTTCCAGCCTCAGGAGGAGGGTGGCGAGCGTTCGTGCAACACACCTACACACCGCAACCAATACACTAAAGTGTCGTGACACAAAGTTTGGAAAGCTCTGGTCTACACTGACTAGCAGCAACTCTCCAGGGATGCAGGGGAGGGTCTCTGGGGATGCCACTGGGGATAGAACCTGGGACCTTCTGAACGCAAGGCAGATGCTTTGCCACTGAGCCACAGAATTCCCTTTCCTTCTTCCCCGGCTCTCGTTTTTTTGCCAGACGCACCGCTGAGCACACAATAGGTTAACTATACAGAAGATAAAGTACGCCGCTTCGTTATTTTTCATTACCATAAGAAAACATCCATTACATTTCCTATTTTATGAACGCACATCGGGGGAATCCATTACGACAAGAGCAATTGCATTCAGTTCTCTCTCCCAGCAAGCTGGGGTGCGGGGGGGCGGCACGCGGAGAGGAGATAATGCAAAGGAGAGAAAGGAAAAGACAACAACAAGAAGAAGGAGAAGTGGCTGGCATTAAGGGGGTGGCAGTGAAGCAAGCTCTGAGAAAGAACAACAAAAAAAAGATTTATTTTTTTTAAAAAACAACAACCCCTAACAGATCTGCATAGGCATCTCCTGATTTATCCAGCTTGACTTCAACTAATTAAACATCTGCCTCAACAATTTCCTCCGCAGATTTATCATCCCTATTCGGTGACAATGACTGTTTGTTACTGGCTCCCCGCCCCTCCTCCCCAAAATCTTGCTAACATTCACAGAAAAAAAACACTTCTTCCAGTTTCTTCTTTGGGTACGTGACAGGAAAATGATACAGTATTCCCATTAACCCCCTGCCGCTGTCCTTTGTGAAAGTGTTGCTGTCCTACCAACTGAAGGATATTTTTTTTAAAAGCGTGTACATTTTTTTTTAGAAGTCCTTTATTAAATAAATGGAGACAATTGCAATGCTATGCAATTGCAATTGTGGCCCTGGCCCATCCTTCAAAATGTTTGCAATTGCCTTTAAAGCCTTAAAGCTGCCTGAGCCACGGTTCTTTTAGGGGACACTTCCACTCATGCATATATGCTGCCCCCACCCCACGGTTCTCTTACATCGGTGGTTTCAAAACTATGGCAGCGTATGCACCATACATTTAAAGCACATGGCTTCCCCAAAGGAATCCTGGGAACTGTAGTTCTGCCCTAGCAACAATTCTCAGCACATTTAATAAACTGCAATTCCCAGAATTCTTTGGGCAGCGGTTCGTGTTCATGATGGTTGTCCCCTGAAACACGCAGACCCAGCAGAGCCTTCAATGGGCCTGATCAGCACTTTCTGAGTATGAATGTACCTGAGAAACACATCCGTAGAATCCTCTGCAACTCACAAGGGTTCCATAAGACAGGTGTGGGGGGAAAAGGGTTCCCTTTCTGCTATGTTACCTCCCCTTTACTGTTTCCAACAAAAAATGATAATCTTTCTTTTGCCTGATTTTTCACACTTTTGAAAGGGGGTGAGGAAATCCGATGTTTTACTGTCATCTGATCAAATTTTACTATGCGATTACAAACCCATTAAATACAAACACCAGTAAAAAACAAAGTACCAAGGTAAGCAAAACCATAAGGAAAAATACAGGAGAGGAAAGTATCCTGAGCATGCTCAACTTCCAAACGAACAACAGAAAAGGAAAGGGCTTAACCTGCTTTGTGGGGATACCAGATTGGCCTCTCCAGAAGGTGGTGTTTTGAAATGGGAGATTTGTGGATTTAAAGAGAGGTTTGTGCATGTGTGTGAGAGAGTACATATTTAAGCCTTGGAACAGACTCTTCTGCAGTATTTTGTGCCACAGAGTTGTTTTCTGGTGTGGAAGATTGTATGAAGGACCCCATTCAGGAAAAAATGACAGCTAGCCTAGGGCTCTGCTCTTCAACTTTGGGTACTCAGATGTTGCTGAACTACAACTCCCATCATCCCCAGCCAGGTTAGCTGTGGACAATGGGAAATATAGCTCAACATCACCTGGGATCCAAGGCTGAAGAACCCTGGTCTAGGGCAGGAAACCGATGGCCCTTCAGACGTTGCTATACCTCTGGTCATGCTGGCTGGAGCTGATGGGAATTAGATAAAACCTCAGCGCCTAGGACTTGCCCATCGCATGGTCAGCAGTTCGAATCCCCGCGGCGGGGTGTGCTCCCGTTGCTCGGTCCCAGCGCCTGCCAACCTAGCAGTTCGAAAACACCCCCGGGTGCAAGTAGATAAATAGGGACCGCTTACTAGCGGGAAGGTAAACGGCGTTTCCGTGTGCTGCTCTGGTGCCGGTTCGCTGGAGCAGCTTCGTCACACTGGCCACGTGACCGGAAGTGTCTGCGGACAGCGCTGGCTCCCGGCCTCTAGAGTGAGATGAGCGCACAACCCTAGAGTCTGTCAAGACTGGCCCGTACGGGCAGGGGTACCTTTACCTTTACCTTTTAAATACCCGGACAGCCACAGATTCCCAATTTCTGCTCTTTTTTCTGGTCCTATGAACATGAGCAGAGCTTGAGCATTATTGTTTTTCGTGGGTCCTTGCCGGCGGCATCAGGAGCCAGCCTCGTATGCCCTCTTGCCTCTGAACTCAGGGCACGTCTTTATAAAGGAAGTCTGAGAGGGCCTCCACTTAGTCTCAATTCTCAGCCCATTCAAACACATTTGGGCAGTGGTGGTGTGTTGATAAATGGTGGATTTGAGAAAGATCCATTCCAATAGAATTAAAATGATTTTCCATCACACGCACAGCATTTCCCATGGAAAAAAGGTCATTATCCATTTGCACGCCCATTTATTGACTCCCTTGGCTCTCCACCCCCCCCCCCCCGTAAATCATAAATTGCAAAGCAAAGACTTACTCAGGGGCAGTCATTTCCAGCAAATGCAACTTGTAATAAATTTGTTTGCAGCATTCTTCCTTTCTCTTTCTCTCCTGCTAATGAATTCCACCCAACGTGAGACTTAACAAGCAGACATTTTCAGAGACGGGGAGCGGGGACTGAGTCAAAGGTTCCTAGGCCCATGCCTTGGGGATGTAACCAATGTTCGTCCTACTCAGAATATATCCATTGAAATTAATGAACAAAATAAGGTCCATTAATTTCCATGGGGCCAATTCTGAGTAGAACTTAGTTGGGATAAACTTTGGAGCATTTGTAGCTGGCAGGCTTCCTGAATGGTATCTTCCCATGTTCCCATCTTGCTGCATTATCTCAGAAGCCTGTTGGTGCCTCCTGGCATTTGCAGGCTAAATATTCTCTTTGCCTATGCAAAAGTGCTTGCTGACTTGCCTGTTTGTCCATCACCTTCTTGCATATTTGCTTTCTACTTAGTGTCTAACCTTTCCCTTCCACTTACCTCACCTGCCAGCATACTTGCCCAAGCTTCCCTTCTCGGCTTAGACCCTGCTCACCTGATGTGTGTGCAGCAGATTCGGAGTGTGAGAAAGTCCTGTGAGCAGTGGCAGAGCATATGCCTGAACGGCCCAGGGCGGGCGCACTCCCAAGGGGGGCGGGGAGGGTGCCCTCCCAGGTGCAGGATAGCCGCTGGGGTGCACAGAGAGCTGTGCGCGCCCTGCAGCCGGGGGTGGAGTGAGCTGCCAATGGAGGACATTTGGCACACCACCCACCCGTGACTCCCAAGCCTCCCCCAAGCTGTCAAAATGAAGGGGGAAGAGGGGAATGCCGCCGGCAAAGCGGGGCAGCTACTCCCCTTCTCCCAATGGCTCGGGGTAGGCTTGGGAGTTGCGGGCAGGCGGCGCGTCAAATGTCACCCCCTTAGCGAAGACACCCAGGGCGGTCTGCCCCCACCGCACCCCCCTTCCTCCACCCTGCCTGTGAGTGAATCCGTCGCACACAATCTCTTAAAGCTTGGTTAGTATGCCATAACAACTATTGGGACATCTTCTGGGCCTCTTGCTTTGCTCAGGCACCTTGGAATCCTGACCTCAGGACTGTGCTAAGCCTGTGTCACTATTAGCCTGAATAAATATCTCTTCATTACTTAGAAGTTAGTATCATAGTGTGTTTGGGGTGAGAGCTGAAACCCTGGACAAGAACATCACTCCTTTCAAAAGGGAGGATATAGCAAAACCTATTGGGTCACATCCAGCTAAGTTCTACTCAGGGTTGACCCACTAAAATTAACAGACTTAAGTTAGTTGCCTCCATTATTTTTCAGTGGGTCTACTCTGAGTTGGACTAACACTGGATACAGGCCTTTGTTGCAGGTACCACTTGTGCATTTCTACTAAGGAAACTTGTATGGAGTAGAATCCCAAGGTTCCATTTGTCACTACAGACTCTATCTGTCACTGCTAACCTCATGCTTGAGGAGGTTGGTAAAGGTTGGTAGTGACAAGGTCCGTAACGGCATTTTTATACAGAAAGTCAAAAAAGGAGAGGGAAGGAGGGAGGGAGGGAGAGAGTCTGGGAAGGTCAGTGATTCCCAAAGGTGACTTTGAAAGAGAGAGGAACAAATATGTTAACGCTTACAAGTCACAACTGCCGTCCACATATATATCAAACTTGAAACATGCAAAGCTGGCAAAATCCAGGTGTCCTGGTCATGTAAAAGTTCTACAGAGTTATCCATCAAGACACTAGAAATTGGGTGGGGGTAGTTGGCCTGTCCAATCAGGATCTCGTGGTAAATGGCTTGATGATTTGCAGCAGTAGATCAGCAAATAGTTAATTGTTTAACTGTAATAACAACTCAAAAGCGTTCACTCTACCCCAGCCTACTAAGTCAAGTTATTTTGATTGCTACAGAATCATAGAACTGTAATAATAATAATAATAATATTTTTTTATTTATACCCCACCCTGCCCAGCCAGGGCCGGGCTCAGGGCGGCTAACACCGAATATAAATTACAATAAAACGTAATAGAAAAAAAAGAAAAAAGAAAAAAGAGTTAATTAAAATAGGGCTTAGAATAGGGCTTAAAATGCAGCCTTATTTTAGTAGCCCATAAATCAAGACCATAAAGGGAGGAAACATCAGATATTCACCAGAGCCAGCTATCCATGTTGGTCCTACATGGGCCAGCAAAAAAGCCAAGGGAAAATTTATATACCAAATCCCATAAAAGGAGTCAAGAGTGAGACCAAGCCAAAGGCCAGGCGGAACAGCTCCATCTTGCAGGCCCTGCAGAAAGATGTCAAATCCCGCAGGGACCTGGTCCCTTGTGACAGAGCGTTCCACCAAGTT